TATTTTTCTTTTCTATTCTTAAATGGATCTATTTATTGAGGTAGTGTGTGGGTGTGTGTAAATAGTTATTTTGGCCGTAAGGCTACTTATCGCGCATGACTGGGGAGGTTCACACGTGCTTCGTGGTGGATGCTTCTGTAAACCTGCGATGTCCTGTTTGCTAGGGATGACTCATTCCAAAGCTGACTGGAAATTCATATTGAAGGACCGCGTAAGGATTTGCCTAGTTTCGAAACATTTGCGGCTCTTATTTTTTTTTTTTTTATGGACCAACTTTCTATAGCTCATCTACACAGCATGAGTTTATGTCTTCTTTTTACATATTATGATGACAACCTTTGATATTCATGACTTCATAAAATCATCGCGACATTATTTTCTTCTATTGTTACCCCCTTTACTTCAGTTTTCTATACCTTATTTTCAATACTACATAGATTTATTTCCTCCAAAATTTATAAATTTTTAATATATTAGAGGCTTTAGTAATTTCTTTTTTTTTTTCAACCTACTACGTACTCTGACCATTTAGTTTATAGGGTCTACTCCGTATTCGTGAAAATTAAGTACAACCCACATTACACGTGCTTCAATAGAGATTGTGAAGCCAACAATGTCCACCGTGCGTCTTCGGAAGATAAAGTATCTATGCCACTTTTACGCGCAACATTTTTTCCAAAAATATCTCTTTACATTTAACACCCTTCTTTTACTTTTTTTGACCTTTCAGAGCACCGCCTTTGTCCTTCTCTCGACTTATGTCCAACAGCGAACGGACAAGGCGACGGGGAAGCGAAAGACCTTTACCTCCTCGCACTTTCTGTTCTGTGTAGAGTTCACGAAGCTGCTGCTTTCGTTAGTGTGGTGTGCGGTCGACGTCAGGCGTCGGATGCGCGAGGGGCCTGCCCTTAAAGTGCCCACCCAGGACGCCGAGGCTGAGGGTTTCGCGAAGGACCTGCCGTTGTCGTGCTCGCCTTTATACAAATCCAATCTGGAGCTTCACGAGTTAGACGGGAAGGCAGGGGGGGGGTGGAGCGGTCAAGCTCCAGCAACGAGATCAGCTTCACCCCGCAGTTGAGGGAGGACAAGGTCGATAAGCATGTGGCGGTCTACAAACTACAAAATACACCTACAAACTTCTCGGTGCGGCATTTTTTAGCGGAATACTTTCACGAGCTGAGCCTTTTGCAGAACGACTATGAGGGCTTTCTGATGTTGTTCCCTGCCGTATGGTATGGGATTCAAAATTTCTTTATCCTTGATGCCCTTAGCAAGTTGGACCCCATGACTTTTCAGCTTTGTTATCAAATCCGTATTCCTCTCACCGCCTTTATAATGTATGTATCCTTGGGAACAAGACTTAATGCCAAGCGCTGGTTAGCTATTTTCATTCTCCTTTTCGGTGTGATGCTTGGGCAGGTCTGTGCTTTGAAGAACTCGAAGAAAACCTCGGTGACCACCCCGGAGGCGAGCAGTTCAAAGGGCAAAACCGGGGGTCTAACAAATAATACCGATTTAGTATATGAGCGTTACCTCATGGGAATAATCTCGGTTGTAATTGCTTGTACCCTTTCTTCGATCTCAAGCGTTTATATGGAATGGATTTTCAAAAAACGTTCCCACCGCTGCTTTTTATCTGTCCGAAACATCCATCTCGCGTTTTTTTCGATTCTATACTTTATTTTTCTTGGGATTCATGAATGTTTGGGCATCCGTTCGAAGCGGTCTGATACTTTTGTTGGCGACTCTGAAAAGTGGTATTCTTTTATTCAGACCTTTTTACTAAATTATTTCACAAACTTTGATTATTTTGTGATTATTTTAATTTTGTTCCACGCTTGTGGGGGTCTCCTTGTGGCTTTGGTGATGCGTTACTCGGACAATATCATGAAGTCGTTCTCTATTGGCGCGTCCATTTTACTAAGTGGTATCGGTTCGATTCTATTATTCCATTCACAGTTTCATATTTTATTTTTGTTTTCATCAATTATGGTAATTATGTCCATATTTATTTATAATTCGGCTTAAATCTGAAGGCTTGAGAGTAAATTGGTTAACTTAATATTTGCCTTTGAGTGTAAAATTATCATTTGGAGTATAACGTGGTTGTTAAACAGAGGGGGGCGATGGGTAGGCACCGGTGCCCATGTCACACTCCCTGGTGTCGAAACATGTCTCCAAAGTGATTCCATTCGATTTCGAAGATTGCCGTCCTTTTTTTTTTATTACTATTTATTATTTCTTACTATTACGATTATTATTATGATTATGTGCTTGAACCATACCGTAAAAGAGGACGCTGCGCGGACACATACCACGGTGTTTATTCCCACAGGCTTGGCGGCGAGCGGATCCCGGGCGGCATGCGCGGCGA